TGTGCCTGCGAGTCCTGGCACCCGCGGCCTGTCGGAGCCTGGGACCCGCGCCCGAGCCGGGGTCGACGTAGAAGAGGAAGGAAGGCCTCGAGTAGATGAGGCTGCTGCGTTCTCGCCGCTGGCGGGGACGGCCCGGGCGGCGGTGGCTCCGCGGTCACGAGGATCCTTGGCCGATAACACACGGCAGCTGACTCAACGTTGTTTAATTTTTAAAAGCTAATTATTCATTGAGCCGTTTTTGGCTGCCTTCTGGAAATGATACCGCAGGGGAAAATGCCGTGTGTGGCAATTAAAAGCTAATCAAGAAGAAAGAAAACAGTATTGCTGAGAAGCGTGAAGTGCATGGAATGTGGTGTTTGGCTTGAATTGTTCTAGTGTGACCGGTTCTGCCACAAGAGGACTGCCCAACCTTGCATCCCTCTGTCACAGAAGCCATCGCCACAACCTCTTCCTGCAAGAGTTAACATTTTCTTTCAATCACTTAGCACGTCATTAAAAAAATAACTTTGACTAAGATTACAGAGAGAAACCAGACGTGGCGTGCCTCGTAGTAGAAGAACACACCGCACACGCACAGAACCAAATATGATCAAGCCCCTACATCCCAGTGCTGAAGTATAGAAAAAAGAAAGGACGGAGTAGCATGTTAAACTACACCACGTGGATCCAATCCGCAAGATCCAACTGCGGGGAACTCCATAGAACAACGTTCTGGGTTTCTTAATTTTAAAAATGCAAGGAAAAAAAAAAAAAAAGGGAAACCTATAGATTAAAAGAGGCTTAAAAAACATATCAACCAGTTGCAATGTGTTGGCCTTATTTAGATTCTGATTCAAAGTTTCACAAAATCAGCAGGAGATGATTCAAATATCAATTGGGTATGTGAAGATATTAAGAAATTATTGTTAATTTCTTCAGTGTCAAAACAGTGTTATGGTTTTAGTTTTTTAAGAGCTCTTATCTTTTAGAGATTCATACCAGGAAAAAAAAAGTACCAAACTAAAACAAATCATGACATGCAATTAACTGTACAATGTAAGCTATGCCTTTAAAAAAATGTGAGAATTCTTTGTGTATTAATATGAATTGGTCTCCAAAATATAGCGTTAAATGCAAAACACCAGGTATGGGGGAGGGGAGTGTATAGGTAACACATATATAATACATGTTTCCATGGATATGCATAAAATATGTTTAAATAGACACCCAAGAAATGATTACATTGGGGCCGGCCCGTGGCTCACTCGGTAGAGTGCGGTGCTGATAACACCAAGGCCCCGGGTTCGGATCCCATATAGGGATGGCCCGTGGCTCACTGGGTGAGCGTGGTGCTGACAACACCAAGTCAAGGGTTAAGATCCCCTTACCGGTCATCTTTAAAAAAAAAAAAAAAAAAAGAAATGATTACATTGTGGGAGAATAAGTGGGAGTCTAGGGGAGAGGGTTGGAAAGGAATTTTTTTGTTAAATCCTTTTGTATCTCTCACATTTGAATTGAAAAAATGCGAATTTTGAAAAATGGATTTTGACATTCTAACAATTTGAGCTACAGGATTGTTGTATTTTGATTACACCTTAGGCATGCTACTTTAGTTTGGCCTTTTAAAAGTTCTTAATGTGTATATACAACAGAAAAATAAACAAAGTGAAGTGTAAATAAAATGCCCTGGAGGTTTTTTTTTAAGTTCTTAATATGTTATCAAGATTTCATATCTTCTCCTTACTCTTGCCGAGTAATTTGCCTTGAGAGGTAGTCATACCAGTTATTCTGGAATGACACTATCCAGTTGGCTGTTAAAAGCTGTGGTTGGGCCGGCCTGGTGGCGCACTGGATAGTGCGCCGCTTGGGAAGCGCGGTGGCGCTCCCGCCCGAGGGTTCGGATCCCACATACGGACCGGTTCCCGCTCACTGGCTGAGCGAGGCGCGGGAGCAACCCCGAGGCTTGCAATCCCGTTGCCGGTCCCCGGTCCGGTACGGGGGCAACACTGAGGGTTGCGATCCGTTGCCGGACACGGAAAAAAGACAAAAAAAAAAAAAAAAAAGCTGTGGTCAAGGGCCGGCCCGTGGCTCACTTGGTAGAGTGTGGTGCTGATAACACCAAGGCCCCAGGTTCGGATCCCATATAGGGATGGCCCGTGGCTCACTGGGTGAGCATGGTGCTGACAACACCAAGTCAAGGGTTAAGATCCCCTTACCGGTCATCTTTTTTTAAAAAAAAATAGCTGTGGTCAATCCAATAGTCCCCAGTGATATAAGGAAATTTCAGGTGAGATAGTTTTCAAATGAGGGTAGCCATAGTTTTGAAATCAACGTGTTTTCCACATAGATTTCCCTTTTCCATGTTTGATTTTTGAATGGCCAATATACTTTAAAGACCACTTCAATAATGGTACAGTTGATATCTATTGAACGATGCTACCTATAGGTAGCTTTGACAACTTTAATTCATAGGAGAGTAATTGCAGAAGATATTCTTTATTCAGTTCAAACAAACCTTAATAAAAAGTTAGGGGGCCGGCCCATGGCTCACTTGGGAGAGTGTGGTACTGATAACACCAAGGTCACAGATTCAGATTCCCATACTGGGCAGCTCCCCCCCCCCCAAAAAAAAGAAAAAAGACACCATAAAAAAGAGTAAAAAGACAAGCCAAAGACCAACAGAAGATACTTCCAACACATACAATCAATAAAAGAGTAGTATCGGGCCGGCCCGGTGGCTCACTGGAGAGTGCGCCACTTGGGAGTGCGGCGGCGCTCCCGCCGAGGGTTTGGATCCCATGTGGAGACCGGTTCCCGCTCACTGGCTGAGCGCGGTGCGGGCGCAGCACCGAGGGTTGCGATCCCATTGCCGGTCAGTAAAAAAAGATAAAAAGACAAAAAAAAAAAAAAAAAGAATAGTATCTAAAGTATATGAACTCCTAGGAATTGACAAGGAAAAGTATGGGGAGGTCAATAGAAAAAATAAAACAAGAGAAATAAAGAATTTAGCAGAAAAAGAGACTAATGGTGTATCAGTCACGGTCTAACCAAAAAACCAGACACTACTTCAGATATTTGCAGTAGAGGAATTAAATGCAGGTTACAGTGGAAGTAATGGAGGACTTGAAAGGCAAATAGGGGACAGGGAGGACAATGTGGGAAGCCACCCTCATTCCCTACTGTGGGTGACTCCTCCTCAGGTAGAAGAAAGTGACCCAAGGATCCAGCATTATCCAGTGACAGTAAGAGCCACAGCGGGTGTGTGATAAACATGGGAGTGCAGGTGTCCCTTCTACTTGTTGATTTCCTTTCCTTTGGGTATATATACCCAGCAGTGGGATTACTAGATCATATGGTAGCTCTGTCTGTAGCTGTTTGAGAAATCTCCATGTTGTTTTCTATAATGGCTGTTCTAATTTACATTCCCACCAACAATGTGTAAGAGTTCCCCTTTCTCTGCATCCTTGCCTGCATTTGTTATTAGAAATCAACAAGTTGATTCTAAAAGTCATGTGGAAATGCAAGGAACCCAGAATAGCCAAAATAACCTTGAAAAAGAAGAACAAAGTTAAAGGACTCACACTTCCTGATTTCAAAACTTGTTACACAGCTACAGTAAACAAGAACAGTAT